CGAAGTTGAACGAGAGGCGAAGAACCAGTTCTTCCAACTTGGATCCAAACAGAGCAGCGAAGCCACCTTGTAGCAAGCGATTCTGGTAATCATAGAAGGTTCGAATGGCGATCGTGTTTGGAAGGCCTTCGCGGAGCCAGATGTTGCTGATACCGTTGGGATCATACGCAGATGGAGAGTCAATGGACTCCCCCATGATGTCGTTCATCTCAAACTGGTGAGCCACAAGCGTCTCAACGGTGACCCTCAAGTACGAAGCCCAAAGATCATGAAGTGTAGAAACGTCGCCATCACGATAGTCGGGCTTGGGAGCCAAGTGGCCAATGAAGTACCGTGTCAGAAGACTCGACACCTCGGGGTTGTTGGTATGTGCAAGATTGTCGAAGGAATTGGTGCAGTCAACACCTGCGTTGGACTTGATGATGAGAGTGCCACCGGGGTGCATGGGACAGAAGTCAGTGACGTCGTAAACACTTCCATGCACAGCGATCCACATTCGAGACCCTTGGCGATGACCAGTGTGCAGAGCGAGGTTCGAAAGGGAGATAGTGGGAAGATTGCAGGGGAGGGCCTTGGGAGACATGAAGACGTCCAGCATGAAGCGACGCTCTGCAAAGGCCTTGTTGATGATCAGGTCGACAGTCTCCATGGTTGCTGTGCGGTAGTTATACATTGCCTTTCGGATACCGCTCATGACCGAGTCAAAGACAGACACCGAGCCACAAACGTACAAGTGACCACCCAAACCACCCTGCTTCTTTGACATGACCATGTCGCAGATCGTGTTGCCCTGCTCGACGATGAGGCTGTCGATGTATCGAGAAGGTGTCGGCTTCTCTACGAGATCCCGTGCGACACTATCATATGCCAAACCATTACGATCTCTGGAGAAGGCAAGATGGACCTCCATGAAGCCCATGTTGACTAGCTTCCGCAGCTCAGCCTCATAGCAGAACTTCTCACGGGATTGGACTCCTAGGTACAGAAGGTTGCGCCCACCTGACAGGCCTGATGTCGCTAGCCGATGCTGCCAGAAGCTGCGGAAGGGAGCGATGCCACTACCTCCGGCGAAGAAAGCGCAAGGAACCATTTTATCGATGGGAAGTTGGAAGGCGACCGGTCGAGAGACTCCGATCAGGACTTCGTACAACAGACTATTCTCTGGGGATAAGGGACGAGGGTTGAAGAAGCCACTTGCGACACCGGCTCTTGTGATAGTCTGTCCCTGCGAGAAGATTGGGGACAGCTCGTACTCGGCGCGGGAGATTGTAAGGTCGACGGTGCCAGGGAGCAGGTCGTTGTTGTGACTAGAGATTGAGTACGTTCGGGGGACTTCAAGCTGAACGAGGTCGGACAACCAGCTGAGGTCTTGGAGATTGAAAGCCCTATTCCAAATGTGGCTTGGTGTATCGAGAACGGCCTTTTGAAGAAGATCGCCCAAGGATCCACGGACGGGCCATTCCTCTGTAGCGAGAACTTGGAGCACAGTGTTGGATGAAGCGTGAAGGAGCTCGTGGACCTTCACGGTAAGCTCCTTTGTGATTGGAGCGAGGTGACCTCGACGGAGGATATCGATGACGGTGAGTTGTCTGTGTGCGGTTCTCGTAACTGTAGAGAGGTGGCGTTCAAATCGCGACCAAGTCCCTGTAGTGTCGACTGGTTCCCTAACGTGTTGATCGAGGCCCAGAGCAGCAACCATCTTGGCGCACTCCTCCCAACTGTTGAGAGGCATGACAGCCACACGATCTCCAGGCGCAAAAGTGATACCGGTATCTCGGATATCCAGGGTGACCATAGCAGTTGACCGGCTTGTATCCTGATCAATCGAAGAGCAGCTCGCAATCTTAGCCATATACCGACACTCCTCAAAAGTCCCCCTCATCGAATGCGGTTCCATGGCAAGCTTGCCCCGGAAAGGCTCAAGACGTTCTTTCATAGCATCTGAGAACTGACGGTGCGTCTCCTCCCAAGGCCTTGTCGCATCAGCAGCACCGGAAAGACCGTTGGTGGCTGTTCGTCCTGTCTTGGCTGCGACTTCGAGGATACCGAAGACTTTGTAGCGATGAACGCCCATAAAACCACGCTCACCGGCGTAGGCTTCTACGATGCCCTCGAGGACACCCATTAGGCGTGGGTCGCCGGATCTTTGAACGAATTCGGGGATGGAGTAGTGGTATTGGATTGCGGCGATGAAGGCACGGTGGTTGGAGGGGAGCCACGCTCGAAGATGAAGAGCTTCAACGCCAAGAAAGGATGCGTGTCTGTATATTATCAGCAGTATTCCTTGGGCATTCAAGCATCGACTTACGTCTTTCGGCCTAAGAAGGCATCCATCACCAAATATGGAGGAAACTGCAAGCCCGAAGCAGCGGGGACTCGCCTGGACAACGGCGATGAGAAGAGTCCCCATCGAACCCATTTGTCGGCCGATACGTAATTGTCGCCTGCGTTGGGGTTGGGTGATATGCTGTGAAAGGCGTTTGGCATTCGCTCGAGGATCTCTTTCAAGCGGATCATTTCGTGGAGAAGACCTTCGATGTTGCCGGTCATGACGTGTTCTTGGCAAGCGGCGATGGCATCGGGGCCATGTTGGAATGAGGCTGTTGGGAGTGTTAGTAGGCGAGCTGTAGTGGAAGAGAAAAACCTACCAGAGGTATCGGCGCATCCTTTCAGAAATGCGACCTCGGCCCTCTCGCCGAACATGGGCCATCGAAGATCAGTGTTGTCGAAGCGCGCAAGATATGGGGTATTGGATTTGATGTCTCTGATCTTGAGGTTGTAGGAAGCTTGGTCGGGAAAAGAGAGGTGGGGCAGGGTTCTTCCCATTCTCCGCGAGACCTGGTAGTATGGAAGAGCTATGCATAGAGGGATACCCTCGAGCTCTTCGCAAAGATCATCGCCCATCGGACATTGCGGCTTCGTTGTCACGCCTTCTGTGATAGCAAGTCCATCCTTTCCATCATGCTTATCCTCAAATCGATAAATAGAACAAAGCATACCGAGCGCTACCACAGCGCCCCAAAGAGCTTGATCAGGAATGTTTTCCTCCGTACCTTCAACAAGCGGCAGCGCAGCGACTGCTTCTCGCACTCTTCCTCGAGCGCAACATCCCGGCATGCGCTCACAGAGATCAGACCAAATACGACCCGGGGATCTCGCAAGCGCAGCGATGGGTTCTTCGTAATCTGGCGGGCAGAAGCCGTGCTCGACGCTGAGGTATCCATCGCGCCATCCTGTCTGGGGACCGATTTCCTGGGCGCGCTGGAGGACTTGTCGTGCTGGTGCGCCGAGGGCGATGGCGAGGAGATCGTGGTCGCTAGCGTTCATGGCATCGAGTTCTTGTTGGCTCTTGACGGAGTCGACTTCTTCGCGGGAGGGATAGTCGGCGTAGAGGAGTTCGTTGATCGTCTTTCGTTCTCTGTTCAATTGCATGTCAGCCTTGTTGTGACCTGCCCTGTTCCTTGAACATCCTACCTTGCGCGAAGCCATTCTTCTGTATCGACCCCCCTCGGAATCTACATATCCAGTCAGTACCTCTCCTCAATATCCGTTCACCTTCACTCACATCAAATGCAGCATGAAGATCCCCAGGTTGCGCCGCCGCCGAAAACGCACAGCCTCGTCGCGTCTGCCCCGATCTCGAAGAACCACCACCGACTGGACACTCTCCCCCCACTGACCCCGACACCGGACAAGACGAAATCGACATGACTGAATTAAAACGATTGGCCAATTAATAAAAGCACAAATAAGGCCACCAGGGCAAAGAAAGGAAATACACAAAACAAACACAAACAAAAAAGCCACCAGGGCTGAGCAAAAAACGTACGACAATCGAACGACGAAAAAGCGAAGGTTTGGAAAGATACACTTCCGTGATAAGAGCGGGAATAAAATTTTCAAGTCGGCGGTATCATATACGTATGAGATGGATGTCTGCGGCAAGTGGGAGACTGGCGAGTTGAGACGTGTTTCAGGATGGTAGCACTAAGACTAGACGGAAACATGCCAAGCCAGCCAACAGCTCCACGACGCAGTGTCGCAACTAATATTAAGCTTAAATTGAGGGATGAGACGATAACTGTGACATGACAAGACGCTGGTGCACCCGGGACGACGAGATTCCGTCTGAAACCAAGATCTTGGAATTGCTGATTGCTCTTTTTACGGTGCTATCAGTATTGCGACACACATTCTTTCTTTTTCAAAGTTTCATGACTATGAATTTGAGGAGCGATCGATCTGCTAGGAGAATTTGCAATTCCAGATCTGTCTGTTACCCTTGTACAGTCCAGGTGTTGGAACCATGGCGAGCCTAGAGGAGGGGAAAAGAAACTCGGGGCCTTGATCCTAAATTATGATAGGATTTAGTTAAATTAGTCTAGATTAAGCCTAAATTTAGGACATCGTTTACTGAGTTTATTTTAAAATTTTATACTAAAGCCAATATCTTGTTACTCTACGACGCAGGCCTTGACGTAGAGAGCAAAGATGCGGGAATAGTCATTACAAGCTTAACTTACTATAGAGAAATTCCATGAAAGCCAAGGAATAAATAAATACAGATCTCAACTCTACTTAGTTTTGAACGTCATAGTCTTTCTGAATTTCATCCGGCGATAAATCATAGATGCTTGGATTGATGTTGACGCAATTCTGTTCAGGTCTAAAATCGCGTTGCAGAAGGGAGCCTCAACCCGCAAAGACGAGACAAAACCTCAAACCAGGACCAAATGGCTTACGTTGGTTGCTCAATTTGTATGTTGATATCTCGTTATGATAATTATACCAATTAATTTAGGAATGGCGAGAAAAGACATCAATTTCAGTTGGCCCTCCTGGCTGCGCTACCCTACATCCAATGCTTCGCTGGACGGGCCCGCGCTCGGGACCAACGTTATTCCGCCCATCTCTTAGTGCGCTCCATGACAAGGGGAGGTCTCAAAGCCACTCCACAGCGAATGAGTGATCAGCCAGGACATGAACCAGGTCCAGTCGAGATGTCCAATCAGCCGAGCCAGACGCCAACAACGAATAACCCTTCTCGCCGCCAAGCACTAAACGTCAGTATCGTCGTTGCACGAATGAGAGCCAAGGACTGACGAACTAGCTTAGGCTTGCGAAGCTTGTCGAAAAAGAAAGACAAAATGTGACGAGAGGAAACCCGCTTGTGCTCGATGCAGCCGCTTGGGTCTTGAGTGCATGTACATTGAGACTGTCGCGGCTAAGTATGCACTTTTACTGATCCGAAGAGATTTGTAGCTGAAACTCACTAGGAAGAACCTTTCGATCGAGGAGCTGACGGGTACCTTGAAACGCATGGACGAGAAACTCGATGTCCTCACAGCTGTCGCTCAACGTCAAGCGCCTACGACGGCATCAACTCCGGGAGACAGCCACTTTGCTGCTTTTAGTCCCTTGAATCTCGGCAGTACAGGGGTTTCTCAAAATGCTTCAACCCCATTTCTCGACACAGGCCGAGTGCTTGAAGAACTCTCACTATCTCAACGACATTCCACCGCCCCACAGCATCTCCTCACCTGGCCTTGCTCGACTCTGTCAATGAGCGAACCGAATCTTCAGTACCCGATGGAGTTGGAGATAAACCGACCTAGCTTATCTCGCTCGACAGTACCACCCCGTTGCCTTGAACCTTCAACTTCACCTAGCGGGGAGTCTTGGCTATCACGACTGTCCTTGTCTCAAGTCAGCTTACTGACGCAGTCGTATTTCCAGCACTTCCATCCGTCATGCCTCATCTTGAATGAGTCTCTATTCTACTCACAGGTTCTAAGCAACGCCGTTCAGACCAGCTTTGCGCCGAACTATAGCTCGTGCACGGTTCTGCTTGTCTGTAGCTTAGGGTCCATTGTTGCTCACTACTCCGGACATGATGAGTGGTCATCAGGTAATGAGCAAGATGTCGGCCTCGGTTTCTTCAATTTGGCAAATGATATGTTCCGTGATTTGGAGAGGTGTGATTGGGAGAGCGTCCAGTGCCTGCTTCTGATGGGGTAAGCTGTCATCCTCTGCCTGGAGCTTCACCGCCTGCTAACAAAGATAGTCTGTTCTATTCTGCCAAACTCAGGGTATATGATGCCTGGCAAGCCAACCATAAAGCTTGTTGTACTGTCTCAGTACTCGTGCCACTGTATGCTAGCACTTCTCATTCTTGGTATCCTCTGACTCACTCTGCCCCAGGCAACGCACAGTAGAGGCGCAACATTGCCAGCTATTCTGGATTGCATATCTTCAGGAGAGGTAAAAACTACTACAGTGCAGCCAATTCTAAGCTGACGGTAACCTTTCAGCCAAATTCTCGCAGAGTTCGACTTTCCAGCCAGCGGGCTTGGGAAGCTCGCTAGCAGTATGCCTCTACCCGTCGTCCCTGGAGCAGGCGCCGACCCTTGCCACGCTCAGTACCAGTTCTTCTTCTTAGCTCTCATTTCAATGCGAAAGTTGTTAAACCGAATTTTGTTCCACCTTTATAGCCGAGGTTAGCCACCGGGGTTAAGGATATCCTTGAGAAAGCTAACAGTGTCTAGACCATACCGAAGACCCCGCAAACGGAGAACCGACACAGGCCGATAAGCCTGCCGCGTTTCTATCGGTATCGCCATCGGTGATGTTCGAGCTCGACCGTCAGCTTGAAGAGTGGAGAACCTGTTTGCCCCAGGGACTCGAGTTTCTACCTTACTCAGAGGCTCAACTTGCAGAAGTCCCCGAATTTAATCAAACTCAGTCGACGGATGAGAGACTCCGAGACCATCTGATGGCTCGCTACTTCGCGGCAAAGTCCATCATTCATCGACCATACGTCTACAAAACACTGCATCACGGCGCTACGACCTCTCTTAGTGATGCCGACACCGCAGGCGCGCGTACAGCCGTTGGTAGCGCGTTGATGTCTGTGGTAGCAAGTGGAATCTTACATGAGCCGTTGGTACTGTTGCTTCATCCTATCAATTCTTGCAGAAGGTATGGTACTCCATCATAATACGACCGTACACTGACCCTTCTAGTTTGTTTGCTTGCGAGCTTCAACTTTCCTTTGTCCTCCGTAGCTCCTATCACTATCTATTGCCACAAAATTGGAAAATTGCGGAAGAGGCGCGTACAGCTGCTTCGGGCTTGATAGAAGATATGTCGCCGACAGCTTTTCGAGATAGCGAGATGTTAAAACTTCTGGCTTGCTAGAATAAAGTTGCTGGACATTTGGATTTTATACTTGTTTGAGACACAGTGCGGTCTTCTAATTGATCCACTGATGCTCCTTCGGCGACCGAAAGTAAACTGTCAACCCCTCGTCCCTCGAGTCCTTGGCCGCTGTCACGCGATACTCGGAATCTTTGTCCACCACCCACTTATTGACGCTATCATCCCAGTATGACAGACTGACCTTGTCAATCTTCATACGCGCAGTGACAGTCTGACCGACACGGACAAAGACTTTGTCCCAGCCCTTCAGCTCCCTCACTGGTCGATGGAGCCTCGGGTTATTTTGCCCAACATAGAACTGGACGATCTCCTTTCCATCCCGCGATCCCGTGTTGGTGACATCCACTTCAACTTCGATACCCACTTCTTCATGATACTCAGGGCTGCTGATACGCATGTTACCGTACTCAAACGTGGTGTACGACAACCCGGCACCAAAGGGGAAAAGAGGTTCGATCTTGCGATGATCGTAGAAGCGATAGCCTGCGTAGATGCCCTCCCCGTAATAAACCACATCATTCTCACCAGGATAATTATCGTAAGGTGGAGTATCTTCGATGCGCTTGGGAAAGGTAATGGGTAGCTTTCCACTGGGGTTCACTGTACCCAAAAGCACGTCTGCGAGACAGTTTCCCTGCTCCTGTCCTTGATACCAGGCCTGGACGATGGCAGAGACCTCATCTTTCCAGGGCATGGTGATAGGGCTGCCCGTCTGGTTGACCACGATGGTGTTGGGGTTCACTGAAGCTACAGAGCTGATGAACTCGTTTGATCGCCCGGGCAAGTCCATTGAAACCATGTCGCTGGTCTCTGTCTCCCACTCATGATCTTTACCCACCACGACAATAGCAATGTCGCTATCCCGAGCCATATCAACACCGTCCTGGAAGAACTTGTCTAGATCGCCGGGGTTCTCCATGAAGCCAATACGGCCACCATCTTGGACTTCCTCGCGTTCAAGCTCCGCCATGTAATCAAGGTCGTATGGCTTAGGCTCTCGACTTATGGACTCAAGAAGTAGTTCATACTCTCGACCAGCTTCCATGTATATTTTGACTCTCTCCTCGGGCGAACCGTAACTCATGAACAGAGAAGACTTGGGAGACCACCAATGTCGTTCGATATTGATGATGACTTGTCCATCAAGCATGAGCCTTCCTGGACCACATGAAGAAAGTGAGAACTCATGGAGACCAGTAGTCTTTGGTTTGAGGATAGTCCGTCCCCTGTATGAGTATCTTTCGCCAGTCGTCAACTCTGGAGGCAGTCCATCGTAGCAGACCAAGTTGGAGCTAGGTCTATGCTCAATCATGAAAGGTTGACCACTGTGGTTCATGTTTCGAAACAGGGATAGTTGAAAGCCAGGCTTTCTAGTCTCTGGGTTTGTCATGACAGCTGGATCGACAAGCGGGATGTATCGATGAGTGAGGATACCTGCATGGGTTTGAACTTTGGCTGTAGGAAACTTGGCGGCTATTTCGGATTTGATCGATTCGTACGGCGTTGTGCGATAGTGAGGCGCAAGGTTGGAGCTACCTCCACCTGTAGCTACGGACCGAAGAGCATTGGGGCCAAGGATAGCGATTCTTCTTCCGCCCAAACTAGACAGAGGAAGAAGTTTGGCTGAGTTCTTGAGCAGAACAATACCTAGAGGTTCAAATTAGAATGTTGCTACCCAATCTAAAGCTTCAACACACCTTCGGCGCCAGCTCGACGAAAAATCGCCCGGTGTTCAGGAAGATCATCTGCCTTTTCGTTGCCTTCCTTCCAATCAGGAATGTTGCTCTTTCCAATTTTATGTACAAGCTCGAGCACTCTCGAAGCCGAGGCATCGATGAAGGATAGATCAACCAGGCCTTTCTGGTACGCATCGATAAGATGTTTGCCTCTGCGCCGCACAGGGCCCGGCATCTCAAGATCAAGCCTGCTCTCTGTCAGTTATGGATAAGACACCATGAGATGAGACCATGTTTCCATACCCTGCCCTCACAGATGGAACAACACTATTCGTGCCAAACCAGTCACTCATCACAAGACCATCCCATCCCCATTCCTTACGAAGAACATCCTGAATCAGGAATTCATGAGCGGAGCAGAATGTCCCGTTGATTTTGTTGTAAGCCGTCATAACCGTCCAAGGATTACTATCACGAATGGCGATCTGAAACGGCTGTAGGGCGATTTCTCGCAGAGCTCGGTCCGGAATCTTCTCATCGATAAAGAAGCGTCGCGTTTCTTGATCATTCGCAGCAAGATGTTTGATACAAGCGCCAATGCCGGCATCTTGGAGACGATTAATGAACTCACCGGCGATTTTACCGGTCAGGTAGGGATCTTCGCTGTAGGCTTCGAAGTTGCGGCCGCCGAGTGGTGTTCTGGGAATGCAAACTGTAAAAAGTAAGAATCGGGTGATAAATATTGAGCGGGCGGAGGCTTAGTTATTACCCGTTGGTCCGAGCAGAACATCGACTTCCTTGCTCTTGGCCTCGTGGATCAAAACGCTGCAAACATCTCTAATGACAGATAAATCCCAAGTCGCTGCTAGGGAAACCCTGTGGTAGAACCCCTGTTAGCTTCGGCAACGCCGCTTGGACAGAGGAGATATTACCCAGTAGGTGCTGAAGCAGCGCTGACTCCGTCTGTGAAAATGCCCCCACGGACACCTACAGGTCCATCCGAGGTCTTGATTCTGGAAACACCAAGCCGAGGAACTGCGTTGGTCCTCCACAAGTCCTCGCCCGTGAGCAAAAGGACTTTTTCTTCAAGAGTCATCTGCGAAAGCTTGTTTTGCGCCCAAGCTTTAGCCTCATTTTTGACATGCCCGTTATTAAGGGGAGGTTGGGATTTTACAAGGGTCATCGCGGGAGGATTGTTCGTATATGAGAGATGAAAAAAAGTAGTGATGGTACTCGAATCACTCGACTTTGAGTAAGCGAAGTGTAATTCCGAGAGATAATTCCTTACTTTATACAAAAAAAAAAAAAGAATTAATAAATGATAAGCACATCTGAAAGTCATGCTACGAATGACCTGCTCATCCACTCTTTTGGTCGTGTGAGACAGCATCCTCTTGGCCCTGGCGGAGTTGGTCCGTCTATCCCCGCCAACCTTAACGCTCTGATCAGCACGCTCGGATCTCGTTCCAATTTCCTATCTACCCGATGATACGTACATCCCAAACTGCCGGAGCCGCTTCAACGAGCCAACGACAGAGTCTAGTAGCCTCACTAATTGCCCGGTCAGGTCCGACGTAAACTTTATTCCTGGCTGATATAAATTTTCAGCAGCAGTATGTACGACATGATGGAGACAGATCTTTTCAGTAGAATCAGCCTTGGCGTTAACAATCATGACTCAGGAGCATTTTCAGATTCAAGAGCGCCTCCAGGTTGAGGAGAAGGTCCTAGGACTTTCTTCCGAAACTGTTTCTCAGAACTCCTCCTCAACTGAGACTCTAAGCGAGATTCGAGTGCCCCTTGGCCTTGACGCCCTCGAACCCTCATTCTCACTTCCTGAGCATCTTCGCTCTGTCGGAGTTGACCTTGCAACAAGACGAGAGGAAGCAGACGGATTCCTGTCGCCATTCAGTTGGTCAGGTTGGAAGAAGATCATCACTCTATTGGGACCTTTCATGGCATCGACCCTCGCGGCATACGCAGCTGGAGCCTACGCACTGGCTTCAGAGCCCCTGCGTGCGAAATGGGACATCAGTGACACCCTTTTCAACATCGGCATATCTCTCTTCGTTGTCGGGTTTGCCTTCACCCCCATGATTCTCGCCCCCATCAGCGAAACGCATGGTCGATACTGGACCTTTGTTGGCTCAGGCATCGTCTTCTTCCTCGGGACTCTAGGATGCGCTGTGACGGAAAGCTACGCCGGCATGATGGTCTCTCGTCTGATCACGGGAAACGGGGCTGCAGTGTTTGCTACTCTCACCGGCGGTGTTGTGAGTGACCTCTATCGTAAGGAGGACCGCAACACGCCAATGGCTTTGTACTCCATGACAATCATGGTCGGTGCTAGTCTCGGACCACTCATCAGCGGAACCGTCGTGGACCTTCTCGGCTGGCGATGGATCTTCTTTATCCAAGCCATTGCCATTGGGATAACGACAACAACATTATTCTTTCTTTTTGAAGAGACTAGGAGCAATGTCCTATTACGCCGAAAGTGCTTCGTCCTGAATGCGGTCCCCATCAAAACATCAGCAGGGAAACTAATCAATTTTGGGTCTGCGATGGAAGAACGTCTCGACATTGAGGTCAGCATTATCTGGCGAAGCTTTGCTTTCCCACTGTGTCTTCTTTGGAAAGAGCCTATTGTGTTCTGTATGTCGTTGTGGGTCTCCTTTGCTTGGGCAATCATGTACATGCAATTCAGCAGTATTGGACTGGTGTTTCGCAGCGTATATGGCTTCGACAACGCTGCAGTTGGTGCAGTCTATACTGCTACTATTGTTGGCTCGATCGTTGGTATCGGAATCTCATTGCTGCAAGAACCTATTATAAAACGAGTGCTGCCTCACAAAAAGCCTTTGTCTACACCGGAACAACGTCTGCTCTCGCCTGGCATACAGTCCATCCTCTTACCAATAGGCCTCTTCTGGTTCTTCATGACAGCAAGGCCAGATATTCCGTGGATATCCCCATGCATAGCCCTTGGATCGTGTTCAATGGGGATCTTCAGCATCTATCTCGCCGTATTCAATTATCTCGCTGATACATATCATGGGTATGCCTCATCGGCATTGGCAGCTCAGAGTCTGTGTCGAAATATCTTGGGCGGAGTGTTCCCACTCGTCACGGCTAGAATGATAAGCAATTTGACTCTGCAAGGGACTGGTGGCTTGCTTGGTGGCCTTGGGCTGTTACTGTCCGGTATCCCATGGCTGCTTTACTTCTTTGGGCAAAGGATTAGAGCTCACAGCCCGTTCGCGAAGGGAATGGAGTGATCGAGGAAATTGTGCCGGTATTGGAATTAAGATATGTAACTACAAGAAGAAGCCCACGGAGATCACCATTTCCTGCCTGTCAAACCGACAGGATTCATCCCATGTCTATGCAATGCCCTACTAGATTATAAGGTAGATTTAGTTAATACGAAATGTCTTTGCAGCCTAGAATTATCTTGTCTATTGAGAGACAGGCAATCTCTATTATGATACTAGAAAAGTACCCTTGCAGGGAATCAAAGCTCTAGTCTCCTTAGCATCGGGGTTGAGCAGAGTAACCGGCCTTGAGACCGGTGACGGCGTTTTCGCCGGACAATCTAGCATGGCATAGTTGAGTGCCGCTGAGAACATAGCATTCACCTCTTGGAAGAAATCATAATTCTGTGATCAAGCTAGCTCGAATTCAAGGCGGGGACACAAAGACTCCAACTCCGCGAGAATGGCTGGCCCCATTTTTCAGCACCCCGAGCGGAGGAGGTCCGTCTCTCCGCGCCCTGGTCTGATTTGCCTCATAGACTAGGCTATTTTCAGAATCTGGGGGTCACATCGACTAAGTTTTCCGGGGAACGGTCTTCCCTGGTCAATCCGGGGATGAGCACGAGATCACCTAGACCTGGGACCAGACTCTTTGGGACATGTAAATGTCAGCTCATGGAATTAAGGGCTTGCTCTGCGATCCAACTAGAGCTTGTCTGAGCAAGATCCAATGACGAGGCAATTTGAAGTATAAAGCTGCTGCATCTCGCCAACATTGCCGATATTCTGGGACCATTGATCGACATCGGCTGGCAGAGTCTCTTCTCCCATAAGGCTACCGCTCGAGTCACCATGACTACCGATATTCCTTCCACTCGCCCAGTCCATACTGTGGCCGAGATCCTCGCCCAGGACAAGAGTTCTGTCTTCGCACTCACCCCGTCACTCATCCATCTCTACGCAATCCTCGCTCCAGCCTGCCTCGTCGTGTGTGCAACCAACGGTTACGATGGAAGTGTCCTTACATCCCTTCAAGGAGTGACCGCATGGAAAGACCAATTCGGTTCCCCTAAGGGCGCTCTTCTTGGTATCACCAGCGCTTCTTATCCGCTCGGCGCCATCATCTCGACTCCCTTTTCGGCTTACATCTCGGATCGATTCGGTCGTCGACTTTCTATCATCATTGGGAGCTTCATAATGATAATTGGAGTCATTGTCCAATGTGCTAGCACAAACATCGAAACTTTCATTGGAGGACGTATCATCGTTGGCTTCGGTATCACACTTGCTCTCGCTGCTGCCCCGGTTCTTATCTCTGAGCTCGCCCATCCGCGACATCGAGTTCTCTTTGGCTCGCTATACAATACGAGCTTCTATCTTGGTGCTCTTCTGGCCGGATGGGTAGCGTTTGGGAGTTATCGTATTCCTAGCGCTTGGGCATGGCGTCTTCCAACTCTTCTTCAAGCTGGGCCCGCCTGTATCCAAGTATGTTTCGTATTTTTTCTGGATGAGTCTCCTCGGTGGTTGGCATATAAAGATCGAGGGGACGAGGCGTACAAGGTGTTAGTGAAGAATCATGGCGATGGTGACTGGGATAGTCCTCTTGTACAAGCTGAGTTCTGGGAGATGAACGAAACTCTAAAAGCTGAGCGTGAGATCGAAGGAAAGGGCGTCGGGCTTTTCCTTGCTACACCCGCCAACCGGAAGCGACTCGCTATCCTCATCACACTCGCGGTCTTTGGCCAATGGTCTGGCAACGGCCTCGTATCATACTACCTTACCAAGATCTTGTCAAGTATCGGAATTGCAACCCAGCACGAACAGACCATGCTGAACGGAACCATAAGCACTGTCAATTACGCAACGGCTCTCTTCGCCGCTGTCTTATCCACCAAAGTCGGCCGTCGTTCTATGTTCGTTGGAGGTGGCATTGCAATGTTTCTCACATTCTCAGCACTCACTGCGAGTATTGCGATATACAACGAGACCGGCTCCAAGGCAGCAAGCAAGTCTGCCCTAGCGTTCATCTTTATCTACTACACTTCATTCAATATCTGCCTCAACCCGCTCTTGTTCTTGTATCCCACCGAGATTCTGCCCTTCAGACTTCGAGCCATGGGACTGAGTATTCTGGTCTTCTCTACCAAAGCAGCTTCGTTCTTCAATCAATTTGTCAACCCTGTTGGTATGGATTCTCTGGGTTGGAAATATTATCTTGTTTATGTTGGTTGGCTGTTGGTCGAGATTGCTGTCTTCTGGTGTCTTTACCCGGAGACGAAGGGTTACACACTTGAAAGGATCCAGGAAGCGTTTGGAGAAGACGTCAAGTTGGATGGGCCTGAGGAAAACGGTAAGATGATGGAGGTGAATGACGAGGACAGTACCCACGTTGAGAAGGTGGCCCAGTCCACGGTCAATGTTGCGTGATGACTCACAGGGAACGAAATACGAGAGCGAGCCTTGGCAGTGACAAAAGAATAAGAGCTTGAGAAAGTGTATGTAGGAGTGTGATAAAGAATAGAAATTACTATCGGCGCGGAACAAATGCATAGCATCGAATGCGATCCCTCCAGTGACGTCGTAGTCTATCGGAGCAATGTGACTTGGGTCTTGATCACCCAGAGAGACCAGCAGTGGTCCTTGTTTCTCTCCAATGCGGTCCTAGAGCATTTTATCGCTGTCTCGGGATGTTGTGAGTGGAGGGGACCTGCCTAGCTTGTGAATCAAGGTGATCTGGGCAAAACCACCGGCAGCTCTTGCATCTAACGTATCACGGCCGCTCCTTGATCACTGAATCACTGGCACCAGGGCTGTTTCTTCCCTTCTTCATCAAGAACAGCCCTCAGCTTGTTCAGATACATTCACACAAGGTCACTGGTGGCCAGACGTCTCTCGCCTGCACTCAACAACAGTCCAACACGCACACGCATCGTCAAATTCATCACACAAAACACTACCACGAACGATCTCACCTACCAAAATGTCTGACGCTGCCAAAATGTCCGACTCTACCAAAGACTCCGAAGCTACGAAGTCAATGACCGTCCACTTCAAGCTGAAGAAGGGCAAGAACGAGCCCAAGAAGATCCTCCTTGAGGAGCTGCAAGAGCACTACGGCATGGAACAAGTTCAGTGCCTTCACGAAGTCGAATCGAAGAGCCTCGCCATCATCGTCAAGAAGAACTGCGACACGGCCGAGATCATGAAGGAAGAGCTCTGGTCCAAGCTCAAGGAGACTGATGTCTTCAAGACTTGGGAGGAGGACAGAATCATTGTTGTGCATGTCGACAACCACTGCTCGTACCTCTTGGGAGACCCCTATCCAAACCAGTAGGCACAGCAAAGTTGCACCTCTGCATCATCGGTGTGCGGGAAGGATGAATGTTTTGGGACACGGAGGTGACGACGGAAAGGGAAGAAGTGTTACCCAACGAACCAAAGGCAAAACAACGGGTTAGGAGCTTATCGATTATCAATAGGAAAATTCTCCTTTTATTTCAACCTCAACATTCCCTTAACTCACGATTCATCCCTCCTGTGATAGTGAATGGCATGTGCATCGCCGCTCGTCGAGTAAATGGGTGGCTTCGACCCAAACGTCTTGTGCATGCTGTAACACACTTGTCCTTACCAAAATCGCTGATCCCGGCGTGAATGAGCCATCGTGGAAAGAGCACTGGAGTCCATCTACCGAAATGAACGCACAATGCTCGCATGCTTTCCTTCGAAACTCACAGTGGGATCAGCAAAGCACACACGCGCACCGCATCATATCCTAACTATACCAACCTAAAACCTAATTGTTCCATCAATCATTTCATATCATCATAATTCTCTCTCGAAATGGGTCAACCAAAGTACCGCCAAATGATTGCACAGTTCCAACCGAAAGCCGGAGCCACACCGCAACGAGAACCAAAAGATGATCCCCTCGTATATAAATATGGCTCTCAAGGTCGTCAAGAGGTCAATCTCACTAAAGGGTTGCTCACCTACGTACTGGATATCGAGTTCAGCACCGCAGACAAGGCTGTGGGGAAGCTATGGAAAGTTCTTGACAAGATGCATGTTTTTGACGAATGGGAGGCACATGCGGTTTTCGCCGTCAGAAGAAAGGACCACGGTAAATGTGACTACTTTCTCATTCCTGGGTCACCAGCAAAAAGAACCTCGTAGCAGCCTATTCTCGAAGAGACTGAGGGGCGCTTGAAGAAATTGTCGAATTGCAGAAGCACTACTCCTGAGCTCTCCTACAGATGTAAGGCGAGTATTTCCCTTCGAAAGGGTCAACTTTGAAGAGAAAGACACGAATGTTACGAGCATGTTGTCCATAGCATGAAAGAGAATGCCTGTTAGATCACCTGGTTCTTTGGACTGTAACGCATGCGGTACAGCAATGTCAGTGATGGAGATTGCTCCCGGAAGACTCCCTAGACTATGCAGTATCATTTTATAAGTGACTGAATTGAGTGATTGTTTGGAAAACCGGTGTCTTGAGTGTGGTGTGCAATACCCTTTCGTTCGACAGTCAGTGACTCCCAGAATAATGTGATTAGCGCAAACTCCACCGGCTTTGAACAGTGCCTGATGGGATCAATGAATAGCCATCTTGTGAAGGCCTTTTATCGTGAGCCCAATGCAGATAGTCATCAGATTCTCAGAGTCGAATGCGTCCAGGCGTATAAAAAGGCCATGCCCAGAGCAGGTCTTCCGCCCAGTCTCTGCAACAATACTACAACTCAACTACGGCTGAATATATAACACACAAAATGAACCGTATGGGCCATCACGTTTACGACAATGACCTTGTAATCATCTTCTGGTTCCATGCAAGGCGGCCTGTAAACTCGTCGCAGCGACGTCTTGCTCGCCGAGATCGCGTATTCGCCCCTATCCGAGAGCATTACGGCAGCTCTCTCTTGCCCATTATTTGGAGAGGATCAGATCTCTACATCACGATAACCGACTGTGTAGCTGTTCGTGCAGCACTACCGGAACTAATGACGATCTTGGAGCGGATCCGCCTTTTCCAGTACTTTGAACTCTGTGGGATCATAGTTTTCGATCATGATGACGGGGAGTTAACGGAGAATATTCGGTATGATAGGGATGGCGTTGCACGGCTTATTCGTCTTGATAATGAATTGCGCATGTACTGGGGGTTAAACCCATTCGACTACATGATAACAGACTAAGCATCAGGAAACAGGTACTAGGACAACACCACTCCAGCCACCCTTGAATCTACTTTCATGAGTTAAGTTGACTTGATTCATAAAATATGCTCATATAGGGCCAAATTAATCTTTTGACACGCTCTCCGAAAACTCGCCGTTCTCCTGGTGTTCCCGTGTCACTAGCCGTTCTCCCCACTAAAGCTCTCTGCCAACAGTCACGTAGATGCAGCAAAATATTTCGCAAAGCATGATTAAGCACCACAGTATGCGTAGTCTGATTCATGTGAGAAAGCTTTATTATCGATATTTAAGAACGAAGACACTGGGTTGCTATTCTCAGGAGATTAACCTGCACTAACTAGAAGCCATCACATAGCTAAGAAGAGTTTCTGATAATAGTCTCGATGACCTCAGGGTAAGTGTCATACTGCACATCACCTGCGCTGCGTGGCACTGGAGTCCGCTTGCGACTAATGCTGAGGTTGAAAGTGTGGTCCCTATCCATATCCCTGGGATTGAGGACCTCACCAGCTATCTATTCATGGGAAAATGGAGTCAGTCACTTGGGGTCTCGACTCAACGCCAGAGTAATTTGTACTTACAGTCTGAACTCGCCACTTCAAATTCTTAATGAGGAACTCCTTGACGTTGTCCTCATCCATGTTGCTCAACTTTCCAATCTGGGCATAGTCGAGGAGCAGCGAAGTAATCGGAGTCGTGCTGGTCACAAGCTGTCGTTGCTCTTCTTGACTGGCGCAATTATCGCATACATTGGCGGGCGCGGCTAAGATGTGGGACACGCCCGCAAAGCCAGGGAGAGTCGACCACTCTTGACCGGTCTGCCCTTGGACGTCGCCGATGATGTAGTAGATGGTGAAGGTCCCATCAGCGAGCATTCTGCAAAGTTGAATCAGCCAATGTAAGAATACCGTGAATGTGTAGTCTTACCTCTCGACCACGACATCGATGTACCAGTCGTCTGCATACTGCGGGTTGGATGACATTGCGGCCATGGCAGTATGCTGTTTAATCTCATCCACGGGCTCGCCAGGATGCTTGAAAAGATCTCCAGACGAGGTGCCGTGCTTGTAATCGAAGACTGGGGCGCCTCCGACTTGTATAGGCCGCATATTATCCGGGGGTGTGCCAAGAAAGGGCTTAGCGGTGGTTCGTCGAGCCCATTCATACTTTTCCCTGAATTCCTTACGAACCGTGTCCCCTGTCTGTCCATTGGCCAAATCCGGGTACGTGTAGCCGAAGTCCGTGGTTCTCCTAGACAGGTTGGAGGTCCAGTACGTCTTCTCGTTGGTCTCCGAAACTGATTTGCGGAACGGCGTCAGGTCGATCGTGGCGAATCCCTGTTCATCCTCTGGAAGCTCATTGAACCAGTGCTCATCGCCGTTGGCAGCCTGCCAGATGGCGAACAGTCTGTCAATTTGGCTGTGCACTATTGTCAGCCAGTCAGTCCATTGCATCTTTCCAGCCAAACTCACCAATGATGCATCCAGAAAATCGGATCAAAGGCAGCCGAGGCGATGGAGCCCATGTGTCCGTCACCACCGATTGTGACGTGATATGCACCGTGAAAACTTTCGATAGATCCGGAAGGTCTTTCAAGCGTTGCTTTGGGTTTCTCATTGGGCTTCGGAAAGACCGCGTTGGTTGCAAACGTTCCAAAGTTTCTGTAAACCTCGTCTTCCATTAAAGCGAGGCACATGCGAATCCGGTCTTCGCGTTTTAGATTCAGCTGCCCGTTCATCTCCTCCATGGCTTCAGCACTAGATCCCCCGTACCGGATTGTCTTAAGGATGCTCTTCTGTGAACGATGTATGAGTAACAATCAATTCTTTCAAGGATGAAGCACTACTCACGAAATGTGGCTGAAGTGTTGTCCTTGGGGCATTATCAACTGAAATCTTGTTGAGTTGTTCAGGGCTGAACTGGAACTGGAAAAAGGGGTTTGGCAAAGAAATAAGTTCATTATCTGGAAGACGCTTGACCATGACCTCGGGCATTGTGAATATTTGTGGAGCACCCCAGTCATAGGGAGCAGTTGTTGTGCCATCTTCGGGGTTGGTGACTCCTGGGAAGGTAGTCTTGGTGTACGCTCGGGGACGAAAGTAGTCCCAGTATGGGAGACGGAATTGCTGAGCAGCAGCAAGATATTTCTTCTTCTGTTCGTCAGGTATGTCCGACTCAGAGAATCGCTTCGCGACATTGGCTACTTGGCGAAAGAGGGTTTGCTATTGGCGAAGATTAGTTCAAGCCGGAGCTTGCCTGTATCATGCCTTACCTCCATCATTGCCAAATACGGACGGTGCCAGGTTCCGAAATGCGGCTTACTATGGGTACAATAGTATCCCCGCGGCCCCTCACCATCCCATTTAGTCACGGGTTGTCCATGAATGCCTAGAACTGGTCAGACGTACTGGCCGTGCTCTGGACGAGGTAGGATACTTACCGGTAAGTTGGAACCAGGACATTTTCAAGTCCACCTGGGCCCCATCTTGGAAGGAATAGCCTCCAGGGGTCGGCCAAGGCAAGTTCTTCATTCCTTGGAGTTCCATCAAGGCGATAAGGTAAAGATTGAAGGTATCGGGCTGCTCTGTCAGCATGACGTCGATATCAAGGCGCTGTCCTGTGCCGAAGCCGGCAAGGCCGAGTACAACACCCGCCTTGTGGGCTTTCTCCAACTGATCCATGGTAGAGCTGCTCATGGCGGCGATGGTTTGTGGGTAGAGGTTCTTGGGCTTGCTGGTGATTTCTTGTTGTGGTTTGGAAAGTCGTTACTCCCAGCAAGAGACAGAAGAGGCCCTTTATAGACGTCTCTCGACCATGCCAGGTGCTTTGGACAAGTCGAGGTTCAGGTACTCGTATAGAACTGCTTGGCATCTAGAGTCTTGTGAAAACTCGCCTCGGCTTCTCGCCATTCCTCGCAAAGCACATACAATCAATCCTCTTGGATCTTTTCCGCGTCTATAGCCTATCTGTGAACCCACTTAAGTTATGTAGTGGGCTGTTTCTGGCATTAGGTGAGAGTCTAGAGCACAGGAGGCGTCTGCCAATGCCAGCTGAGCCTTGAACCCTGGTGATTGCCTTCGGTTTTCCAGCAAATTTGGAGGCTCTCGATTGTGCTCAGGGACTTTCTTGGTACAGTTTTCAGCTAAGCGCCACCCCCGCTTTCCTGCGCTTCGGTTGGTTCATCCAACATGTTCCTTGTGGCTATGTGAGAGTTGGTCAGCACAGGCATTGGAATGTGATAAATCGTGCTCCAGCGATGGCCAATAGTCGAGCACCATCCTCGCTTATGCGATGTGACCACAGCCCGCCGCCGTCTCGGCAAAATACCAAGCAACCATATGCGACTGTAAATAGTGACAACGTCAAAGGCCCTGATGCTAAGGCTAGAGCATCCTCGCATCGGTGGAAACAAGTACTATGCCCATATCCGACTAGACTGCTTATTACTGTGGCTGGCTGAGGGAACAAAGCTAGAACACCTGCAAGCGCAAGGCAGGTTTGAGCAGTGACAAACTTCTATACAGAATTTTATAACGAATAAGAGCTTATTTCTCTCACTTTGGTTGTAACCAAATTGAATGGGGTTGAATAGTAGCATGGAACATCTCAACTTTCACGGGTGCAGTTATATTGCTTAGTAATATGTGTAAGAGGACTCGTTCAATATTTCAAATGAACCCAGAAGTCTAACTCAACAATGTGAAACTTGTGTCAGGTCATGCTTCAGTTGCCACTTGACGGAGAAGATGTCCCGGGATATGTGATAGCGTATCCGTATGTCCCAGATTGTGAAGCATGACCATATTGAGGCTGGCTGAAATGCCGGGAGATAATGCAGAGGTTTTCACTTCGTGGTTTCGTTTTGAGATAGGCTGTTGAATTGATGACGCACCTTCGGGGGCGGTGAGTAACTATTAAGTTTGTATGAATGTGATAACTTTGTTGTCACACTCTTTGACGAATTAGAAGGTCGTAATC